TTGGTAATATTATACATACCTAATATAAACTATAAAAGAAATGAATTCGAATAAAATAATCATAAAAAATGTAAGATAGTATTTGAAATTTTTTTATTATAGCATATTAATCCCAAATTTACTCATCTAATATTGCTTCATTTTTTTTTCTGCAAAAAAAAACATTTTAAAAATAGTGTGATTTAAAAAAAATCTAGTCACGCTTTCTATATTTTGTTAACTTATTATAAATAAAAAGTAAATGCTTCATTAAAAAGTTTAAAAAACACATTATAATAATTGCATAATTATTTGCAATTATAATAAGTTTATAATGATATCAATTCATAAATTATATTAAATCCCGATTCTTAAGTTCATCAATAAATCATAATATAGCTGTGGAATCTCCTTTTGATGGACCTCGGGTGAGTTTTCTCTCCACTTTCGGTCGATGTTACACTTATCTTTTAGGGGAGATTGCCCTTACAGTTACACTGTACATTTTGGCATAGAACCTTCAATTTTTTTCATTTATAATCTCGGCATGATTTTTTTGAAATTTTGTATAAATATGAATATAGATACATTTTGGAAATTAATTCAATGCAAATGAATGTTAAAAATTATCCATCTATCCATTATATGATTTTCCAACAGATGGTTTGATAATCTGAATTGTATTTTTCTCTAAGCTCGGCACAGATTTTTATGATCATAGAATTTTATGGCTTTCCGTGCAGAGTTTCAAACAGCCCTATAGACCTCTGACATTTAGTTATAGATTATTTTTAATTTTACATTATAGTTATATCATTTAAAAAAATTGAAATACCTATCCCATCAAAATTAGGAGGACATCTTGTAATTCGTAGTTCACATTTCTATGGCCTTCATATCATCAAGGCTTATAATCTTTATTAATCTAACAGATATATTCTAGGCCCGATTTGCTATCCCAAACTCTAGTTACCTGGGATCTTAATAAATTGACACTATTGACTCGTCCTTTGGCGAGTTTTATAGATTGATTTTTTTCTTCTTATTTCTAACCTACAACCTAAGCATCTTACGAATATCAAATTAAATTTTGACAGCAGTTATGAAAAGATTGAAGCTAAATCCAACTTAAACCTCCACTTCTCCCAAAAAGAATGGGGGATTTACATTTGGCTTCTTATAGACAGCAACATCGTTTTTACTTTTTTTCTCCTTTTATAACATTCAGGTTAGGAATACCATCCTATACATTAAAGACATTTTTTAAATCGGCATACATAAACATAGCATGCTAAAAAACATTATAAAATGCCGAAAAAGAGTTAAATTTTGTAAATTCCCCATCGAAGTCATAGATTTAAAAACAAAATTATAAAAAACCTGTTAATTTGACTCATATATTCTAGGAGAAGGACTTACCACTTGCATGGAATTCTACCGTCGCAATTCTTACGAGATCTATAGAACACGATAAATATCTTGTTAAGAACAACAAAAAATATTATTTTATTCACTCATTAACAACATGCATTTCATATCTGAAATAAAGTACTTCCATAATTTTTAATGGAAATAGGTTTAATTCAAAACTCCCCAGAGATTCTAATATAATCTCCACAAGAACATCGGCTTAGTTATAGATAGCATAAATCAAAATTTTTATCAATTTATTATAATTCCAATTCCAAGTGTTATTTTTTGGAAATATTTGTAGTAGGGGAAGTGAACGTGAATTTTTTTAGCTGTTAGGATATTTTATAAAATGTGCAAGTTTTCCGGAGAAAAGGGGATTTTTGCTTCATCATTTTCTTACATCTATGATATAATCAACAAAATAAATCTGTAGAAATCAAATTACATATTTATAATCAGATATGAATATATTTAATTTAATGAATTATCACAAGTTAAACTTAATTTTAAAAAATTAATGATTTTTAGATTACTAAAAAAAATCATAAGAATACCAATAACTATAAAAATGCGTATAAATGTTTTAAAAAAGATTTATGATTTTTATAAATTTTAGGCCGTATTTTTAAACTAAATCTTCCCAGGCCGAAGGTCTCTAAATATTATAATGAACCAAATATCTAAAATACACCCCCCCCCCCATCCCCTCACACTAAATCCCTGGTGTTGCTAAACGGTTGAATTTTTAAAACGGTTAACCCAACATTTTAGCCAAAAATGCAAGCCTAGCGATTTCGTCATCGATGAAAAAGGGTTGGGTATTGCATTTACAAAATCTCTAGGCTTACGTAATATTATTTTGGCTGAAATCTTAATTTAAAATTGACAAATCGAGCAGTATAACAACATTACCAATCCCCTTTGAAACAAATATCTATAAATAATTTTATGGTTCTCTAAAGATTATAAATATTATCACAAAAAATGAAAATTACATATCAATATCCTATATATTTTAAAGTTACTTTTAAAAAGTTATTGAATAGTGAATTCAGTAACTTGGTTGGTACAACACTACTTTTAGAAAAATATTTTCATATTTTTTAACGTAGAGTGGTGTTCCTATACCTACAAAAATATTAATCAAATATAAAAATCAAATAAAGTAAACAAGTGTAATATTAGAATTTATGAAAATGATAAATGTTGTGAAAATAAGGTTAATAAAAGAGGTCCATAAGTCATATGTTAAATACTTGCAAATAATCTAAAAAGAGAAAAATTTAGAATATTTCATAATAATGTGAGTCATATTATAAATGATTTCATATAATACAAATAAATCGATCGAATATTTGAAACGGCTATTATTCGATGATTATTTTTATTATTCGTTTTCGTCAAGATTTCGAATAATTGTAATATTCATAAATTACGAGTCGAATAACGAATAATTCGTTTTAATTATAGTTTTATAAGTTGGATATACAAATCTATAGTTATAATACAGCATTCAGAAGAGTCTGGAGAGAATACAAATTTTATATTTTTCAAGTTATGAACAATAGAAATAATTTCACACTAAAGTTAAGAACAATAGAAATAATTTCACACTAAATACGAGTAGCCAAAAAGAATACGAATTTGTATTTTTCAAGTTATGAACAATAGAAATATTTCACACTAAATACGAGTAGACAAAAATTAGTGAAGAGTAATCTGGATGTATAATTTGTTATAAAGTTGATGCTTCAGGTCCTGAAATAACTAAACATATCTATTAATCTATAAATGGATCAATAATAAGGTTGTTGCAAATGGGTTAAAGAACAACCAAACTTCAGTGATGAGGAATTTTAGAGAACGTTCAGCTCCAATTTCCCATAATTTTGCAGAAAAATCCTTAAGGATAAGAAAATAAGGCCTTGAGTAATTAATATGGAAATATATAGGACAAATGCAATATCAACAACTAGAGCAGATGCCATCTCGTACCTTAACATCTTGTAAAGCGACACTTTGTAACTCCGACATTATACAACTGACACTTTATCACTCAGACATTTTATAACAAAAATACTTTATTACTCTGTCATTTGATAACTCTTTACAACGCAACACTTTGTAATGGGACCCGTTATATTGCAGCACGTCAAAAAGATAGGTAAAGCACAAAAAAGGTCACTTCGAATTTAAAGAATCCTTCAATCTTATCCTAATTTTATTTTAATCAGTTTCATTTACTATTGAGTTCCCTTTAGAAATTGAAATTATTTTGTTGATTTTTAATAATTATACTTGAAGTATCCAAAAAATAATTACGCGATAAAAACTACGATTTTAAAGAGGCTCACCAAAATTTTTAAATGATCCGAGTCTACAATAATCTCATCCTATGACGTCATTGCAATTATTCTAAGTAAAAAATAAAAGCCCGTAATACTTTTTTTTCCCTGAGATTGATGCTACAGACTCTAATTAAGAAGGGGATAATTTTCTGTAGGAAAATCAAAAAAGGAAGGGTAGGGTTCATACAATTTTAATATAAATATTGTGTTAATTGTTTTTTTTGTCTATTGTGGTGTTAGAAATTCCTTGAGAAAAAATGTTACTTCCCCTACTCTTATTTTATTTAGCATAAATAGAAGACTGATAGCTCGTAAAATAAACCCATAATAAAAAAAGATAATCGGTTAAATTTCATTGTCAGCTTTAAATTAACATGATCATCAACTGTAAAAAGTTGTATGGCTAAAATTTATGGAATATAATTTTAAATATTATCAAACTCATAAAAATATCAATAAGAGGATAACATAATTGTACATTGTATTTTTCATAAATTTTTAAATCGAAAACTTCAGCTGAATAATCCTCAAAATCCAATTCATGAACTGAATAATTTTTATATGCCTACTATCGTATTTAAAGATTGCATTATTTTCAAACAACGCAAAAATTGAGAATATATAAAATCATTAAGAATAATAATAGATGTGGACAAATCCAATTCATAAACTAAATAATTTTTATATGCCTAATATATTCGTATTTAGAGGTTGCATTATTTTCGAACAACACAATAATTGAGAATATATAAAATCAATAATAATAGATTTGAACAAAGGAAAAAATTTTAGAAAGCAAAGGGAGGGGATACCAGAAAAATAAATTTATGATACACACGACTTTCTTTTGAAAATGATTATTTTTTGTTAGCACTACCTTTTTTGAAGAAAATTAAGATAACTGCAATCTAACTTTTAGATTTAAAGGAATATAGTAATTAGTTACATTTCAATGAAGGTAACTATTTTATGTAACTAGATATATTTTGAGTTAATGCAGCTAATTACTTTGTCCCATCCCCGAATAATTAAAATAAGATTAAATATATTTATAATAGTATAAATTTTCTATTTTCACATTCTTTTATTATTTTGGCACATAATATTAATTTTAGTTATAATAATAAAAAATTTCAAAGCACCATGATTGGATAGTAAATTTTAGTTATAAAAATAAAAAATTTCAAAGCACCATGAATGGATAATATATTTTATTTTGTGTTTAAAATTAAACCTTCGTTCATCATATGTTTTTTGAAAATGCATGAAATTAAAAAAATACCGCGACAATCTCACGATTATACATTAATTGATAAATATAACAATCGTGAAAATAATTTTAATAGACAATATGCACACATATATACAGAAAGATTACTAATATATAGACCTATTTTGATTAAATATTGTGAAAAAAAATTTGGTAAATAGACATTGAAATTATTTTTATATAAATATTTAAAATAATTAAAAGGTAACAAATATGAAGTTAAAAAGCTACACGAAGTCAAGTCAGCTGAAAAATTGTGTATAGTAATAGGAACAATTTTTAAACATATGCCACTAAGACCAACCATTTTTAAAAAGATAGCAAATGATCATTTACCAAATCATCATATAGGTAAATTTATAAAACCTTCTGATTCACTCATAATCGAGGATGAATTGCAAAGAGCTACATTAGTTGGGAATATCTTTAAAGAAAATCTTGTTATAGGTATCAAAATTTGATTTCATAATTTATTCATTTAAAATTAACAGGTGTCACATTAGCCATAATTTGTTGTGAGGATAAACAAGGTTGTTTATTTGTAGAAGATTACATATTTCCACCTTTACCTAAACAGATTCCTTATGTTTTGATAAACAAACCATCAAAGTAAATAAAGCTTTGTTTATTACAAAAAATTATTTAATTATACCATGATAAATTAAGCAACCCTAAATCTGAATAATTTTGATTTTTCAATATCTGACAATCTAAATATAATTTTCACAATAGAGGAATTTATTTATAAATAAATTAGCTTGAACTCTCCCAACCTGAAATTTTAATATTTACCTGTAAATCTCAGCTAATAATACAGGGTTGTATTACCTAAGCTTTATTAAAAAATGGTTATAATTGAAATATATTTAAATTTCTACTGTTTTAATCAAAGTTGTTGAAGTATCTAAATATATTATCTGTATCTGGATATACTTTATAAAATATATTGGTATCTTGATATTATTTTAAAAGGATCTGTAATAAGAAATTTATGAATAATAAATCAGATCTTTTTTTCATGAAATTGCATTTTTTAAAATTTTAATTTTTTGTCTCCATTTTCTAGGCAAATTTTTATAATGAATGATAATTTAAAATGCTAATTATAATAGAAATACTTTACTTATCTTGTTTTTATATCAATTTTGAAAAGTAAATTATTGGGACAAAAACATTCAATCAAAAAAATAAATCTAAATTTTCAAAATATTACAACATGACTTTTCATTAGTATCAGATTTGCACAGAAATCAAGAGGATATTTTGGAAGATGTTATGATTGTTTGATTGAATAAAACATTTAATATTAAAATTAATTTTTAATTTTTTTGCTAGTTTATTATGTTTATATTGAGTAGAATAAAAAAATATAAAAAATGTTATTTTACTGATATTAAGTCAATATTTTTCTATGTAATCCGAAACCTGAACTCTTTTTAAGATTTTTATCTCTGAACCCAGACTGTTCACATCCCTGGTTTTTATTTTATACCTATAAATTAAATGTTTATAGATACGTAGCTTTAATATCGGGTTTGGGTCTAAGTAATCAAAATTTAAGGATGACTCAAATTCAACTTATGATCGACACTATAAATGGAATGATCTTGGGAGACGAAAAAAATCCACTAACCATTGAAATGGCAAATATTGTAAGAGTGATCATTGCTGGTAACTCTATTGGTGAAGATATCTATTTAGATAACTTATCAACCAGGGTAAATCATATATGGAAATGGAATAAAAAAAATATAGTTAGATTGATAGATTAAATTAAAAGAATGAATTAACAAACAAAATAAATAAATAAATTTATTATAAATATCTCTTAATTTTAACATATCAAAGGCCAAATACATATCGAACAAGATTTGCCTATCTTCCTTTGACAAAATAAAACAATTGGATGATTTACTATTCGGATTAGCCGTAAATATAAATGAATTTTAAAAATTTTTTGTGATAGTGATAATTTTGTAATTTTATTTCCTAACTTGAGATTTAATTTTTGATTATATTTACTAGTTTTGTTAAAAGTTGCTTATAAAAAGTTAAGAGTTACAAATTATATTCTTAAAAATGTAACTACTTAAATTAAAAAAAATGAGTTTTGGTTATATTTTAAAAGTATCGGTTACAATGCAAGTTACTTTAGAAATTATTTTTATTACTCATAATTTTTAATACAATATATATTTTTATTATACAAAATATTTTTGCGATTTACCAATTTTAATCAATTAAATCTAAGTTAAATACTATTTAAATAAAAAAATATACAACATTGATATTTATTTTCACTAAAAAATATCACAATTTAATATTTATTTGCATCGAAAGCAATATATAAATAATATAATATTTATTTTTCAAAAAAAATTGGTTTAATTGTTAAAACTCACACACATGTTTTGACTGCAACTATGGAACAAAATAGTATATATCAATTCATTGATTAATACTTTATTAACGTTCTAATTTAAATCTTTTCCAGAAAGACCAAGACTTGATTTGATTAAACCCGATAATATGAATTTACTCATCTAAAAAAAATATTATTGAGGCATAAAATGAATAAGCAATAAATAATAAAAAATATTTAAAATAAGCTTCCCCCCCCCCTCGGGTGTAAAGATCACCCCCTTCCCACTTTTGATACAACCAACACCCAAAAACAGTTTAAAATATATTTTTTTTAAATGTATACTCCATTGCCTTTTAATTTTCTGACGTCGCATGCCCTTTTCCATACGTTGCCCGTCATATCCTCTTCAGAAAACTGCCTTCACATTTAAGCTATTGAGCCATTGTTGTTCCGCTTTCCATAGAGTTGCGTTAATTACGTCTAATCCCAACATCCGGACTTACAATAGTCTCCTGGGACCTATCCCCTATACCTCTAACTCTGTATTTCCAACTTTTTGCTGATATTGTTGGTGGTTGTCAGTCTAATCTTCCGCTATCTTCGGTAAGTAGTCCATCGCGTCCTCTTCCTAAATTACTAATTCTCCCGACATCCCTTTAAAGTCACCCAGCTCTCGTTGTTCCACTTTCCCTTATTCCATCTCCCATTTTATCACAATCGCTTTCCACCTCATTTCAACTAGTGCCCTCACCAACAACATTGGTGCATAAATATCGACTTCTCTTCCCTATATATACGCTGCCTCCTTCACCTCTTCACGTCACCATCGATTACAAAAATTCAAATGTAGTCTTCAGCCCATAGGAGACCCCCCCCCCACACACGATCTTCAATGATGCGACATCCATATTGATTCCCAATATTTTCATATATCCCTCTCCTCTCCATGCTAACTCCTTTCTACTATTCTAATATCATGACATTAGCTAGTTTGCCCACAAAAAGATCGCGCACCATGAATTTTATAAAAACTTTCATCACCTAAAGTTCGAGCGATATCATCCCTAATTTTTATCCTCTTACTATTCTCTATCAATGCCACTAATACTTATCCTATTCTTCTATCCTGATTTTAATTTCTAAAAAAACTACCCGGCTCTTTTAAGTCATCATAAAACTTTTATTTTGCCATTTTTACATAGCCCCTTTATTGAATTATTTAGTTTCTATTTTTATTAGTGAACTTCTACTCAACTATCACCAAATTACCTCTCCACTTCTAAACACCTACGGCTCTGCCTCGGTCTTCCCTTTCTATGATCTGTTCCATTATACAATTACCTTGCCAAATGTCCCCCTACCCAGCATTTGAAACACCTTCCCTCATTTTTTACCATCCTCCTTCCCTCATTTTATACCATCCTCTTTCTTCACTAAGAATCCCGAGTTTTTATTCCTATTGGAAACCGGTGCATTCATTCCACTTTATCTGGCAATAAATACTATACCCCGTTTTACACTAACTTTTGTCCCGACAAAACCGGCCACACGTCATGCATCGCATATTATTACCCATCCGGGGGTAGAGTGTCGAAATGTGACTGCTGTACCAAATTTCGCGCCCTAACACTTATTCGCGACATTCTTACTATGGCCGAACCTATAGAACACCACACCACTACTCCTTCCGTGAAAGTTCCTTCTATATGAGTTCCAACGCTCAGAAACCACCATCCATCTCTACCCTTTTTTCCCCAATGAACTAGACACCAAATACCGATATCACTCAATCGGACTATTAATTTTTATTTTACTATGAACTATTTTCAAAATTGATGTCTAAAAGGCGTGTTAGCTTTTCCCCCAAAATAAGCTTTCCTAGACTAAAACAAACGTTCTCACAGGAGCATTAGATGTAAATGAGACAATATACATTATATTTAATGAACAGTATCTTATGTTGTGACATTCCAAAAGGAAATGTAATTAGTTACTTTAACGACCTTAATATTTATTTGCTTATATAATTTTCATTTCTATTTATAATGCTTCTCTTTAGTGTTTAAATGGCTCGATGATTTTTAAAGACGGCTAACCCAACATTTTAGCCAAAGTATATTACGAAGCCCTGGAGATTTTCTCACAGATGGCACAAAGGTTTGGACATCTATTAACGGAATCTCGAGGCTTGCATAATATTTTGTGGCTAAAATATTGGTTTAGCCGTTTTTAAAAATCGAGCCGTTTAACAATACTCTATTTTTGCATATTTTAGAGTTCCGTTAACGTTGACATAATGGCCGGCCCCTATGATCCCGCGAATATCATGCTCCCTCAACAACCCCTCAATAAGCGATTATTCCAAAAATGTGTCAAATTATCCTCGTTTAATTCCGTTTCGAATCCTTACGAATGTATCATCGATGGGATTCGGTTAGTTATGACCTTGTGATACTTCTTATTTTAACATTCGATTGAATCGTGGCTTCAGACAATTCTTTTTGTGGGGCCAAATGGTTTTTACTCTTCGAATATTGACGTATCAACACTTTTCGCCGAAAAATATTTGTTTATTTTACCTGTTACTGAACCGACATTAGATCTTATAATGCGTGATTTATTGTACCTGTTGCTGATCCGACATTAGATCTTATGATGCGTGATTTATTGTACCTGTTACTGAACCGACATTAGATCTTATAATGCTTGAAACATTTTTTTAAAGACAATAAATAAAATTAAAGATGTATATTTTTTTAAAAATATGATTGAAAATTTTATATGACCTATAAATACTTTACAAGAAAATGATATAATTTTCGAAATAATTCAAAGGTCGATTGCTTCATGAAGCATGCGCTCAGAATTAAAGTTCTATTTTAGCCTCCACCTCCCATCTTGTAGTTAGCAGGCAATAAACATTTGGAAATCCACTTTCCTCGCGGTACCTTCACAAACCACATTGCAAAAAACGGAAAAAGATTGAGATGCTTAATTAGTTTTTAACTTTTTTGCATTTCTAATCGAGATGCCAACTCTAGCATCATACCCTACCTTTTTCACTTCTTCTGTCATCAACCACGGATTTCCCGTATTCTTTTCTAGACATCTATGATAATTCCTCTAGCAATAAGCTTCGTTATGCCACCTGACTACAGCCAAGTATTTTTGTCATGATCACTTTTAGCAGACCTATCCTTTTCTATTTTAAAAATAATATCTTATGCCTGCCCGTATGTAATTATCTTTGATGGCATTTTATGGTCAAATGACAAACTCCACATTTAAAACACATGAGTTGATCATTTTCAATTGAAGCTAACGGCTCATCTATAAATAGTAGAATATGTATATTTTCAATATTTTTAACGGCCAGACTATTAAGTACATGTTTATAAGAGGAAAAGAATTGCAAAAATTGTGTTTTTTATAACCATTAGCTGACATCTCCACAAGCTAAAAAATTACCCAAATCAGTGCAAAATAAAATCGCCAAGCTTATATAATCGTTGTATATTGCGCATTTCTATATCCATTTACATCAAACGTTTGTATCTTCTTAATTATTGTTAACATTTTATGTATTTAATTATTTTTATCATAGCGATTTGTGAAATTTCCTTACATGACAAGGATTACGATAAATTATATTATAGATATTTATTTTTATATAACATAATATAAATAAAATTATATATATCTATTTGGAAAAAGAATAAATAAATAAAAAATCACTTGGTGTTTTATGGAAAAAGATAAAATTATTTGTGTCTTGCAATTATTGGTCTTTCGAGATTATTCGAAAATAACCGATTTAATCCATTATCCAAAATTATAGTTAAAGATTGATCTTCAAACTAAGTTCATGTAAAACCTATCCTATCAATAATCACGCTTTTTCCTAAAATAACTTATGCTCAACAACCTTTTTGGATCACACCCTTACTTTTTTAATTAGGACATATTTTCCATATCATTCTATCGAGAATTTCTACCTTAGATAAAAATTGTAGATCAACATAAGCAAATTAAATTACGGCAACATCTATTCCATGGAAGGCGGTATAAATATTCACAATCTTAGACCCTTTTTAGTAGAATATTCCGTCATTGCAGACAATTTTATTTGAAATGGCAGGCGCGTAACCAATAGGGGTAGGTAGTCAAAGGCCTACAATAAATGAACCTAAAGATCACCAATTAAATTTATCGGGAAAATATTCCAATAGTGCCCCACTCTAGCAAAATCCTGGATACGCCTATGTGAAATGCTATATAAATTTATATATAAATTACGTAATTAGAGTTAAAAATATTATTTTTTTCTTTATTAATTAATATAATTAAGCCACAAATTACATGATCTTATCTATATTTAAATAAATCGAATTAATTCGTTTAAACTTATTTTGTTAAATTAGGATTTTAGGGACGTCCGGTCAAAACATTGACGATATTTATAAATATACAGATTTCGATGATAGGTTGGAAATTTTAGAGAACACCCTAAAATGGACCCATATGGCACCGACGTGTCCCGATTCTTTACGTAAATAGTTATTTATAAATTGTTTTTTTGTTAATCGATTTATATTATAAATATATCGTTGTAATCTTTGAGAGTGCAAGAACGAATCTTTATGATTTAAAAGGGGGTCAAACGTCTGTCCTGACCATTATTTCAGGATATGATGCATTTTGAAGACAATCTATTTGGGAATAACTCGTCCAATCACAAACGATGTTAAACTTCTTTTTTAGAAAAATCATCCAAAAATATGACGCTATATCTCGGACAGACGCGTATCAAAGACCCTAATATTCTACCTCCTAAACGGACGTTTAGCCCTCTTAGTATTTTTACGGATCCTAAAATATTAATTTATATTTGTATAGCGGTAATGTGTTTTTTTCCGACATGTATTATTTTTTTTTCAAAGGTATTTTAAATATGGTAGAATATATTTCCGATAAAATCAGATCTTTAAATTTTAAAAAACGCGCCTAAAAAATGATTTAAGTTTTTAAAAAAAAATAACACATTGCTTCTAACATGCTATTTAATATAAAAAATAAAGCTTAGTAGTGCGACCTAATTGAGCGTTTTCGAAAAAAGCAATGCGTTTTTATTTGTTTATATATTGTGATCAATTTTCATAATACCATTTAAAATGCATGGTTTGCGTTTTTCATAACTAAAAACGCAAACGTTCAATTAGATCGCGTCGCACTTTAAGAAGCATAAAATTTTATAAACGAAAATTTGAAAAATTTTTAGCAATAAATTATTTTTTTGACACCGTGAAAAAATTTTGACGGGTACTCATAATTTTCCGTCTCAATGCTCTGTTTATTTCTAAACAGTCATCTGTTTGGCCGTTTTTACTTCCTCTAAACAACCTAAAAGGAAAGAAGGTATTATGATCTTCAACGTCTGTTTTTGTACCGAAAAACTATGCAAACAAAGTGATATTTATTTAATGTGCAAACTTAAAATACGCCAGAATGGGAATGTCCATAGTAGCTCCTAGACTAATCCGAAATAAGTTTTCAAAAAAATAATCTGAGCGTTTGGCATGGCATAATAGTTTAGTTATTATCAGAGACAGGAACCGGAGAATCTGGCAAGAACTTTAAAAATATTAGAAATAAGAAACAGAATCTAAAAAAATTAAATTCAGTTAGTTCTTAGGCTCTTGCTTCTTAGTCCTTAATTCATTTTTTTTACAAACTTATATTAAATTTTTATTTTTTTAAAAAAAAGATAGCTTTTAAATCTTTACAATTTTCGCACCCGGTAGAAAAAAATTTAAATAATTATTATTTTCGTTTATATGGAATTTGTTCAATGTAAATATATTTTTTATTATTATTTTAATATTTAAAAAAAATTTAGTATGTCTCACATTCATTTTAAATAAATTAGGGTAAGTCTAGACACCTTTTTTCAAGAAACCGTTTGCCAAACCTAATTGAAGAAAAATTCTGAGCCTAAATCACACGGGTTCAGTGGTCTCTGTAATTACTAAAAGTGCTATCGATGCAATTATTACTTATATAGGAATAAATTATATCTTGTTAAAAATAAATCAAATCTATGGTCTATTATATAAGTGTTGTTAAAACCCTCGGCTTCAGCTTATACCACAGCATTTAATTTTTGCGAGAATATGACCAAACCTTTCTGCCATCTTTTGGTGAAATTTTGAGGTTTGGATAACATTATTTTCGGTTAGTATCTTGATTTAGTTGTTTATCGGCTAAATCAAGGTTTTTTAACAACACTATCTTATCTATATTATATATATATAACATCATTGAATAGCCTGTTATCCATTCTTTAACAACGAGCCATTTGTCATGAAAGAATGTCCTCATATCTATTTTGCCGGGAATCAAGCGGAATTTAAGTGGAAACATTATCAGGGTAAATGATATTATTGAATTTATTACTATTATTAAGCATTTATATGGAGCCCTACAAGAGCCTAATATTTTTAGGCTGTGAATTGAGATTTAAAAAAGTAAAGCTCCCCTTGTGGGGTATATAAAAAATATATAGGTCCAACTAAAATAAATTGCCATTACCACAGCTGATTAATTTAATTTTCTATTAGACTCTATAATAAAATGGCCTAACAGATTTGACAGGTTATCGACAAAAATGATTAAATTTTATTAAAAATCATTTTTAGTATTATATTAACCATGGCTCAGATTTCCAAACCTTTACTTAACCATTACCCATTTCTCTCTCAATAGTATTGTTAAACGGAAATGGCCGGAAGTTATTTGTCAAAATAAAATTATGTGAGCCTCGAGACTTAACAAATAGAGATCCAAATCTTTCTGATAATGAGCAAAATCTCTAATATTATTTTGACTAAAATCTTAATCGGGCCTTTTAACACTACTCATCTTTAATCACACTCCTTACCATAAAGTACCAGTTTTTTATATATATTTCATCCTTAAAAAAATTGAGTTTATTATCTTTAAAAATTAGGCCGCAACAGGATCCGAAATGACTTTGGATAATCAGAAGTTCAGATTGGCCAAGTTTATTAAAAATCGGCCGAAAATACTTTTAAAAGACCTAAATCAGCCCTAGAGTTCTACTTAACTAGATTTATATAAATGATTTTTTTTTAAATATTATTATTATTTTTTTTAATACATAAAAAGGAGATGATGGCCAAAAAGTGTTACTCATAAATGTTCCAGAGTTCCATAAAACTTCTCAAATGGTATTAATCAATATATCTAACTTTACTTGTCGCACTATATTATTTAACACAACTCTTTAAAAAAAATGTTGTTTTTATATCTTTATAATACAAATATATTTGATTACAGTGTATATATGTATATATTTTTATACATTTGTGAAATGCCACAGAACATAAAATAATTAGGAACGTATATTAAAATTTTATCTCATAGTAATGACTTAATAAGGGTTGTTAAAAAACCTGATTCGGGTTGATTTTTTAAAACTGCCCGATTAAGATTTTAACCAAAATAATATGTATACCTCGAGATATGGCGAATAGTTTCAAAACCTTTTTGCCATCTATGAGCAAAATCTTCAGGCTTACACAATATAATTTTGACTAAAATCTTAATCGGGTCATTATAACTACAACCCCCCTACCCCCCCTTTAAAAAAAGACCTAAAGTGATGACTTCTAAAATATGCTTATTCAAGAATAAGTACATATTTAAATGAAAGAAGTAAAACCATAAATAAAAATTCCATTTCTATTCAAACGGCCATTTAAAATTATATAAAAAGATGAACTATGGGCCGCCTAAGCGTTTTTGAAAAATACTGATCTTAAGAATTAATAAGATGCACATATAGGACGCCTAAAGATAATTATTTTTTTAAACAGTAAAAATGATATTTTTTAAAGGACGCACGCATAAAAATGGAAGATATGTTGTTATATTTAGGGCCTTAAAAATTTATTTGGCATTTCCTGTATATTTATAAAAAATAAGATCTCAAAACGAATATTTATGATATAACCTTACATTTAATAAGATAATATTTTTAAAATAAAATTTATCTCATTTTTTTACTATTTCTTTCCTGAATCCAAATATAAAAATACTTGCAAAATTGAAATGCAATCCCCCACCCCACACGAAAGCTCATGTAATTAGAGCGAGACTTCGAGGTATAAAAAGTTGCTGATGTAATACTCCGTTAGGATCCCAATGTTATTTGCTTCAGTTTATCATTATGAAATTTGATTTACAGTGGTAATTAAATAATCACTTTTAAAACAACTTATATGGGAGAAGAAATTATTCAGGTTAATATTTATACCCAATTCAAACGCTTATTTTAACTGAATCTAAGAGGTTTCAATCCCTTTCTAAACTAAATATGAGCTTAAGTTTGATGGGGGCTATGGTTAATCTATACCAGTGTTGTTAAAAAGCTCGTTTTAGCCGATTTTAACCAAATAAAATACATAAGCCTCGGGATTCCGTTAATGGTACAAACCTTTCTGCCACCTATGAGCAAAATATCCAGGTTTACATAATATTTTTTGGCTAAATTTGTTTAACCGCTTTCAAAATTCAAACCTTTTAACAACAATACGAAATGGCTAGAGAAGTATCTAGATAAACAGAGGGGGGGAAGTAAATCTAGACTGTTATGTTGATTTTTACTCATCTAGACGTTGGGCAAGAATAATTTTTATGATTGGTTATATTATATATTGGTAAACTAAATATGGGCAGTCTCTTAACAACGATTAGTTTTATATTTTTAAAAATTATAAAAGGTTGCAAACATTTTTCTATAAACTATATTTAAAGGAGGATATATATATGTCATGCAATGATAAATAAAACATACGATCACAATTGACAGATTTTTTATAAATAATTTTTGGTGCTGTTTATAGTGCATGTAAATATAATATTTGCGTTCATAATAGCGTAGATTTGATTTTGCAATCATGAAAAGATTCTGATTTTGTTTTGAAATTTTGGAACCTTGAACTTATTTCTCGAATACCCAAAATTTCGAATAATTCAGGGATAGATGGACCTTTCTACAAATTTTGTAATCAATTTTTTTAAAATCGTATTATTACTGAGTGAATTAATAAATTATATTCGATTTATAATATATGGTTGCCGTTTTAAACAGAAATGCACCAATACCGTGTTAGCGGTGGCGGAACACGCGCATACCACCAGCGCTTGAGGGTCCCAAATTTTGAAGTCCTTTTTAAAAATAAATCGCGAGTTCTATTTTTAACAAAAAAAATCGGGCTGGGCCGGGCTTGAAAAATTAGACCCGATGCAGATCACTATTACCAAGTGCTGCATTATCACACTATAAAAATCAACAGACTATATCATTTATAATTACTATTATCTCCAGGCAGGATTAAGATCCATCTTTATAACAGCATATTCAATTAGTGCTCCAGTATCTTCTCCGACTGAAGAAGAAAATATTTTATAAAATATGCATTTAATAAAGTATAAAAACAAAGCTCCAAGGCTACCAATTTATATACGAATAATGAATTAGATGAAGATTGTTATATAGTAATAATATTAAAAAAACTATGGGTATCTTTGATAAGCAAAATATGTGGAATAAGGCAGAACCCATAAACATTAATCATATGCCAACATCTAGCTTGTGAAATGGACATTGCCCTGTTGGGAAGTGGTAAATGTCACAGTAACCCTTCTAAGTTCAACCCATTCTTATAGAAATTTATACGTTTACAGTAATATTCATACAAAGAAAACAGGAATCGATTTAAAACTTTGACTAAGGGGAAAAAAATTAGTTATAAACCTATGATTCAGTTTAAAATATTGGCCCAAAGCCGTTATGGAATTTGAGATAAACATGATGAAGAAGAGATAGAAAAAAAGAATGAACAAATAACTCAGTTGAATTGTGTATTGTATTTTATATATTTGCAATAATTTTTAAATTTGATGAAATAAAGTGTACTTCTACGTAATGTCAAACAGCTAGATTACCGATTTTTAATTAAATAATATAACGCAAAATTCGAGATTTCGTTAATAGAATATCCAAACCTTTCCACAATATAGGATGTCCAGGTTCACGTAATATTATTTTTGCTAAAATATTTGGGCAGCCGTTTAACAGAACTACTTCTGCGCAAAATGTGTCTTATTTGATGAACAAATAAATAAACTATATCATTATGGAAAAAATAATAATTAGGGAGAAATGGTCCATAGAATCATTTTTACAGCATGGCTTCAAAGAAAAGTTGTTACGCCACCGCTTGTTAATTCCGGTGTTATGTGTTATCGATTTTGAACTTTATCGCCTAAAAAGAAGTGGTATTGATGCCTCTCTAGTTTTAAATAAGCCTAAATTAAAAAGTCGATAAAGAAATGTTGACATAAAAGTAATTAGATTTTTTTAAAAAAAATACTTATTGACCACCTTCTTTTATTAAAACATCGTAAAAGATATAAACTTTTAAAATAACTTTATTTCCGGTGATGATCCACCTAAAATTCTGCATGCAAGAAGAAAATGTCAACGCAACGTCTTTAATGGGTATGGTAGCATTGTTGGCTTTGATATCCGCGATTAGGAAGTTTAGTATTGATTTGATTCGAGAGTTGATGTCTTTGAAATCGTAAGAAGGATGTGAGATGCTTTTTTCCATTTCCTGGACCAGTCTTTCCAATGTCTCGACTGATAATATTATTTATTTTAAATCAAGACTATAGGAAAAAGTAAGCATTGAAAAATTATCTTTCTTTGCAAAGGAAAAAAACAACATTCGTGTATAGTTGGGTAATGAATAATAAAAATATACTAATTTCTATGTTTTCTTTATTGAACTATATTTTGAAAAATAATCGAGGCTGAGGTGATAGTTTTCGCCCCCAAGATAAATTTAATTCGATAAACTAATCGTGATTCTGTGTAAATATTTTCCAGGACAGATCAGAATAATTTAATGGTTAAGTGAAAATGGGAATTATTTTGAATTTTTTTTTAATTCTTCCAAAACGGTAATCATCTAGGTTAGTGACAACTTACGAGATTCTTGACTCTTTAATAAAGTTATCTTAACCTCTTAACTGCAAGGGCTACTTTAATTTTATTTAAAATTATAGAGTTAATAATTTTAGGAAATATCAAGATAATTTTTATATTAAAAAAATATATTTCTAAAAAATAGTTTTTTATTTAAAGATATAATTTTCAAAAAAGTTTAATTTTTTTTAAAAAAATATTATTTCAAAAAGTGATTCCTAAAAATTAATGATTTCTTGTAATGAAAATTATTCAACAAAACAAATGATTGCTGTTTAATTTCTTAATAAAAATATTTCCTACATTGTTGATTGGCATTTTACATAAAAATGTATATGATTATTTATAAAATAAGCACAGCGATGACAGTTAGTTCCAAGGTAATTTTGTTTTTTGGAACTTTGTGGAATCAAATATTTTGGCCACCAGCTAAAAAATTTTTAACTCTTTATTCTTTGCGTCAAACGTTTATTTATTCAGACTTAACGACAAATTTTATATTAAAATTAATAAGATATACTATATTATATAAAAGTGTTGCCCATTAACAAAGCAAAATAAAATAATATTTTTGATAAGTATAAAAATGATTTACCAAAAACAGGAGATATCTCTTCTACAATGTCATCATCTAAACTAGGCGGAAGCCATAGATATTCGAACGAATCGAGTTCAGGCTCGATGAAATCTCGAAGAGTAGAAATTCGGTGTTTACCCCATGTCAAAACTTTTGACAGATAATGAGAATCGAATTTATCAGAAATAGTTTTGCCGTATCTAATGGTTTCAAAAAAAAGATCCATAAAAGTTGTATACTAATTTTCATTCTTTTGTATTTCATCTTATTTATTACTAGATTAGTCGCATCTCTTACCCGTATATTAATGTAGGACAATAAGTAATTTAGGGCATTGACTAATCTAATAAATCAATCAAAGCATAAAACGTAGAAAATTTAATTATCGAACTAACCTGCTGGCCAAGAGAGTCCGTAATTGCTGTACCAAAATATTATCTTGATTGCATAACTTATTGGAGTCGCTATCAACGTCGGACGAGCTCATAATAAGCTTTTCTATCTTTCGGCCCAATATTCTTTTATTGATATCTCTCATGAGATTCAGGTTCATTTTGATGGGGAGAGTTTCCACGTGTTTAAGACCCTTGAATTGTTCGATCAAGTCGTCCATCTCGTAGTAATCTCCGCTTAGCTTAGGGATATTATTATTATTGATCTCGTTTACATTTATATTATTGTTTTCATTATTTAAGGCGTTTTTACCAGGGTTGTTTTTGGTGTCGAAGCTTAAAAAATTCTTTCTAGTTGTAGTAACGGTGTTTAAATTTAAAAGATGGTCTTTAGTATTATCTTGAGCGAATTTTCTGAAGCCGCCGGATCCCAAAATGACAAAATTGAATAGCGTTTCTGGAAAATAGTTTTTGTTCACTAACAAGTGCTTTACCTTTATAAATTGAAAAATGATAAAGAATTTTTTAAAAAATACTTTAATATAAAACGTTACTCTTGAAGAAAAAAATACCATATTATTAAAATTAGACCCAATTTGATCAGGCCTGATCTGATCAAGGGTTTAGACCAGTGAAAATATGTTGAACCGGCATAGGAGATGGAAGTTATTTTAATAAACAAGCATTTTTTAAATAAATAAGATAAAATTATTCCTCATCATAAAATTCCTAATATCAACAATATCCTTATATAAATTATATCAGTTATTCTTAGTGGATTATTATTTTAGAAAGTGTCTGTACCGTAATGAGAGGCCAAGACAAAATATCCTTGCCAGAGAGCAAATCCGAAGCTAATTTTTAGATGATACTTGTGGGATTCGGTGTGCTGCCCATACTCTACAACCCTGCTGAAGACCAGAGAGTCAGCAAATAATGATAAAAAGCCAAAAATCGATCCTTTCGAAATCAATTCTTAAATTTTAGATATTTCAAACTCGTTTGCACATTGAATAATATTATCGTCTGCCTACTAATTGTATTTAGGCCTTTTTATAGTAAAAGCGTTATTTTCAAGAGGTGCGTTATTTACAAAATCAAGCCAATAAAATAAGTATAATTTGTATATATGGAGCGTTTGATGATAACGTTATAAAGAATCAGTCTTGATTTTGATAGCGTTAAATAACGCAAAGCTTGAACATAACGCCTATACAATAAATGGCGCCTTAAGCTGAATTTATAGTAAATGCGTCGTTATTTTCAAGCAGTGCGATAAATAAACGCTGCGTTAATTAAAATCAAACCAATAAATAGGTTATTAAATATGGAGCGAAAAACGTTATGATAAAATTTGCAAAATATGTCTTGCGACGTATATTAAAAATTAATATCGCTGTAAAGAATCAGCTGTGATTTTGATAGCGTGCACTGCCTGATCGTTTATTATGCCTTAATTATAATTCCATATTTTAAGGTAATAGATGAATATATAATTATTAAATGTTTAATTTCTCAAACGCTAAAAAAGTTGAAATCCTATTTTCCTTATTAGCATCATCTTGAATAACTTTAATATTGAGATGTATCAATATTCAAGGTTACTGCTTAAACCATCGCCATTTGGTAAACTATCGAATTAAGATATAACACACACTTTTAAAAATTATAATTTTAATAATCACAATTAACATATAACTAATATTGATTTTAATAGCTGTTTTCAGCTTACTAAAATATAAATTTTTTAGTTTATTTTGTCTTTAGATTTGTTATTACTTTTCTATATTTGAAATGGTAACTAATAAATCTATCTTGGTGCAGGAGTGTGCTCAAAAATATTTTTTAAATGACATTTTTTAGCTAACATTTTCAAACCCCCTAGTTATGCTTCTGTCTTGGTGGGCTTAGTACCAAATTTTTCTATAAATAATCCATTTTAGATTAAGATTTGTCTAAACAATATTTATCAATATTCATCTCACATTCTCCTTACCAATACTAATCTTCAACAAATTTTTAATACTTGTTCATCTTCATTGAAGTCTCAAAACCTTTATTAAAAATGTTTTATAATATAATTATATAATGTACATAATTATACATATTCATCATCAGCCATTAAAAAATGATTTAGTTTCAAAATTTTTGAGATTTTTAAAACTTTAAAAAATTTTGAAAAATCGAAAAAAAATGATTTCTTATTTAAATTAGCTCATATATTTTTTTCTATAAATTTCAAAGTTTGCGAATCGTAACTTTTCTATTTTGGACCCAGCTTTAATTACAAAAAAATATTGGTCGAAAAAAAATTTTTTGTTGATTTTTATAAAAGAAAATCAGATTCAACCCTTATTTCACGATTTTTTTATTGAATTTTTTAATATTTTATTGTGATATTTTTGGTACAATTTTTTATTATAAATATTTTTAAAAAAATAATAAAAAATAGTTATAAATTAATAATACATTTATTAAAATTTGTAGTTAAAAATATAATCCAAATTATGTGAAAATTAAATTTATACAAGTTCAAAGAAGGCGTCATACTATATTTCAATTTGAAAAAATGGAGAAATAATAGGGGTATATCTTAAGTGATTTTATAACTTTAAAATTGCATATATTAAAATCCACAACAATTTTAAAATGTATCATTTCAGACACTATAAATTAGCGCTTTTTACATTTTTATGATTATAATACATAGTAAATGCATAAAAATAAAATTATTGATATTATCTTTTCAAGCTTTTTTTTGACCACTCCGAACAATAACCGAAAAAACAAAGCTAATGAGTTTTTATCGAAAATTATTTTACTTTTTATCAGGGCTGTGAACTAGAACTCTTCGAACCCTCAATATTTTATTGAACTCGAACCATTTTTTAAAATTTAGGGTTCAGGATTCAATAAAAAAAAATATATATTAAATTTTTATTAAAAAATATATTAAAAATAACATATATAAATGTATATTAAATTAAATATAAAAATCATGCCAATTATTAAAAACATAAACATAATTTTTTCTTATTTTCAATATAAAAACATTTTTTGGTGATTATTTTGCGTGGAATCCATCTTGTTATATTTTAGAGTGTCAGTGGCGTATCCAGGATTTTCTTATAGGAAGGGAAATAATTTTTTGGGGGCTTCGCCCCCAAACCTTTTTTACCTGGCCTTCGGCCAGCTTTTCCCCGGCCTTCGGCCGGGTCTTATTTAGCTATTCTATTAAATTATGAATAATTTAATAATAATTATATTTCTATTTTTAACTATTATTTACTAATTCGTGCTTATGGATAGGATATTACAAGCCTCTTTTTTATTATTTCAAGTTAGGTATATTATATTTAATAAAGTTTTTTTAAATGTAAAGGTTTTTTTAAATGTAAAGTTGAAATAAAGTGTAATGTCATTTTTTTAATAAAATTTGCTTTAAAAACTAGCCTCAGCTTAAATTCTCATACAATATAAGTAGAATATACTTTTTTTATTGAAAATACTAATAGTAGTTTAAAATATTGACTAGAAAATAATTAAATTAACAAGTTTTTTTAACTTCTTATCAAATACAAGATTTTTAATTATTTTGTTTGTCGTTGGAACCAAATCTCTGTGTATATTTAACAGAGCTAACCCATTTAGCCGAGATTCAGTACTTCGTAAATATGTTTTCAACCTTCTCAAGTTAGAAAAAGTCCTTTCATTCGTACATGTTGTAATAGGCAAACATGCAAGAATATAAAACAACTTCGAAATATTAGGAAATTGAGCCAAGGTTTCTTTACACCGATTGAGCGCATCAATAGCATGCTCAGGTAAAATAGCTAAACGTATAAATATTTGTACCACAATTCGAATTCACTGATTAAATTTATTTCAGTATCAATCTCATAGGAATAAAATTTTTCTAAATATTTAATTTTACCAATAGTGGCATTAGAAAATGAAGAAGGATCTTTGGGTAATAAAACTTGAAGATTGCTAAAGACTTGTTTTTTATCTAAAACCCGTACTTTTATTTGCGATAAAAAAGTATCTAAGAATGGGATGAAAATGGATATTTTATAATATTCTTCAGTTGAGCCAATATTTATTTTCATCTCAATAATGGCCTAGGTGCTAGACGAGGTTTAATTAGTATTATATCATAAAATTTAGCCTTCGATTCAACGTCTAGATAAATATTATGAAAATATTTATCTACATTCATTCTTATTGTATCTACTTGTTCATGTATATTTTCCGCCAAATCAATAACCTGAACCAAATCTAAATTTGGTTTTTGTAAATTTCTACAAAGTAGTGAGCTAAAAATAATTTATTGATGCAACTAGCAGCAATGATAAACTCTGATTGATCAATTGAATTCAATAATGATATCGCTGCGAAAGACACATTACTTTTTTTCATGCTCAGCCTTATTTATAAATTATCGTTTGATTTCAATCTCTTTGACTAAATATTTTTCCATTTTATTAATATTTTTGAATAATATGTTGGAAAATTGATATTCAAATATTTGTAAAATTTTGATTGGTGGGGGGGGGGGTCTGGGGGGTGGGGGTAAAATTTTTATTAGCTTAAAATGATATTTATGAAAATAGTCAAATTTGCGATGCCATTGGTTACGCGCCTGTAGAGTGTACTCCATTTTATGTAATAATTTTAAAATTTTTACCAGCATATTTTTAATTTTTTTTAATAATAGATAATGTATATAATATGATAATATATATGTTGAGAATATTTATTTTTGTTTGTTGGATTATTAAATAAGAAGATGTAATCATAGGTAAAATAGCTTTATTAAATGAAAGTTGCGATGCACTGGCAAAGTTAAGAATAAAACATCTCGATTTTGTAAGATATCAAAGTAATTCGCTTATATTCTAATATAATGATAAAATATTTTTATTTGTTAAGAGCTAAATATAGTAAAATAAAGTTTACAATGTTTCTGTTATTTTTACTAAATTTTATAAGTCACTATTTTTCTGGACATAGCTATCATTCAAAACAATCATAGTTTCATAAAATCCAAACACAACAAAAACATGATATATTATAAATACGTTCATAATTTCGGCGACCTATATTACAAATGCAGAAAGAATAATTGTAAGGGTAGGGGTAAATTTGAGTCACATTTTACTGTGACCCAAACACATAACCACCTGGATGATGAAGAATATTACAATCTTCTTGTCACAATAAATAAACTAAAAGACCAAATAAATATAGACATTAATTAGAGTATTTTAAAGATTTATCAAAAAGTCATGAGAAGTAGAAAATTGGATTTATATTGTATAAATCACCCAACGACTTTGCCAACTTTTTTGGCGGTCAAATCTATAATGGGTCGAGTTGTTCAGTCAACTAGACCTCCATTCCCTCTAAATAACTCAAGTATTATTTTACGTGAGGAACATAAAATAACAGTAGATCGGAGAAAGTTTTAATTTTTTAATAGTGAAGATAATAA